CGACATCTTGCTGAGCTTCTTGACGATCGCCCATAGATTATCGATCGGCGACATGTCGGGGCTGTTGCCTGGCCACGTACCGCTCTCCCAGAAGCCCGGGAAGTCCGCATGGCACCAGTCCTGGGTCTTCCGGGCGTGATGAGCTGGAGCGCCGTCCTGCTGGAAAATCGCCCTCGACATGTCTGGCAGAAGTTTGACCTTGGTTGGCGGGCCATTCGCCTTCCTCCGCTGCATCGCCGAGGCTGCAGTCTGGCGCGGGAATTCGTGTGGCTCAGAGAGGCCTCTGTAGCTCATCATGCTCCAGACAACAGTCTTTAGCCTCCTTTAGCCATTTTAACTGTTTCACTGTCTCGGCGATCGGCACCTCCGAGCTGTTGTTGGCCCAGACGCGGTCGGTCTGGCCGCTAGGGGCTTGGAAGAGCTCGAAGGGCGACTCGTCGCTGAACAGGACGCATCTCCAGTCCTGAACGGACCAGTTCTTACGGGTCTTGGTGAATTCCAGCCGCCCCTGCTTTTGGTCCACGGTAAGCCTTGGCTGCAACCTGAGCTTGAGGGGCTTCAGTTGCAGGCTGATCTTCAGATACCGGTGAACGGCCGACTTGGAGGCTGTGTGCTTCTTCGCCGTCAGTTTTCTCGCCAGGGTTGTCGTCGAGTGGTGCCTTTTGAAGGCCGACTTTGCAATGAAAATCTTCACCACCCGGCCCAAGGCCGACTTCCGCCCACGACCTATGCGGTTTCCGAGCGTCTCTCGTGAGCGGTCGCGGGCCAGCCAACGCATAATCGTCACTGCGTTGACGCCCAGATCCCTGCTGACCTGAACCTGGGTCATGCCGCCCCTGACCATCCGAACCGCGCGGTAGCGGATCGATGGCTTGTGCTCTTTCACCATTGGCGATAAGCGGACCCGACGCGGTAGCGGATCGATGACTTGTGCTCTTTCACCATTGGCGATATACAGACTCCACGCGTCGGCTACCTCGAAAGGAATGACCTCTCCCGCCTCTACCGGCCGAGGTCAGGCCGGCCGCTAAGGCCATGTGATCGCGTGTCACAGCGGGACGCCCTGGGGCCGAGCGCAATAAAACTCGATCGGCGTTCGGGAGGGGCGAAAATGATAGGCGGCACCAACCGCGTATCAATTTCGGGACACCATTGAACACGACGTGACTGGTCACTGACGGAGGGACTGTACAGCACGGCGTGGCTGGTCACCGATGGAGGAGGGCGGCGGAGGGCACCGGCGCGCGTCGATGGGTCGATGTCGGCCGCAAGACCCCGGTCGGCCATGGCTAGGACTGAATGGTCCGATTGATCGCCCGCTGGCCGTGCCCGCTCCGGTGCTCCGGTTCTCTGGCTCAGGTTCTGGTACTCCAGCGCTCCAGCTCTGTTACGCCGGCGCTCTGGCTCCGGCTCTGGTGTCCGCTTGCGCCTCCAGTTGCGCCCCGACTGACTCAGCCGTTCGTCTGCCGCAGATCGCTACGTGTACGTCGGCAAGCTGCTGAAGCCGGGCGAGAAAGCCACCGAGTACACGGACGACGAGCACGACGAAGCGCCGCCGCCCGCCGACAAGAAGCACGACTGAGCCCCGGCCCGTCACCCAGTCGCCCTCGGCCGCCGCCGCCGCGCCGCCCGCCCCATGGCCGACGCGGGGTTTTAATGCATCGGCATTTTCACTAATACGCTGTGACTTGATGTGGCATTGGCGTTGTGCACCGTGCCGGCCTGTCCAGCGCTGTCCGGGCCGGATGACGGCTGCGCTCTGCTGTGCCCGTGCCGTGTCCACTGAGCGCTGTCCGACCGCCCTGGTGTCCGCGCTCGCTGGGTCGTGTCTGTGTCCGACCGCCGTGGTGTTCGCGGCCAGCGGGGCCGTGGCGTCCGCGCCCGCTGGTTTAAAGGCAGCGCCAGCTGCGGCCGACTGCGTTTTATGAGGCCCGCGCTGTTCGCGGCGGACGCGGCCAGGCCAGCCCGCCGCGCCGCCCCCGCTTGTGCGTTCTGTGTGCGGGCCCAGCCTGCTCCGGTTATCGTTCGTTGCGTTCTTTATCGTGTTCGTTTGGGGTTGGTGTGGCTCATCGGGACAATCGGCTCTGTGGTGGCTGTAGGCCGACACGCCGGCCGGGCCCGCCGCCGGCGGTCGATATTAATCACCGGAGTCGCGGTGCACGTACTTTGCAGCAAATATATTATGTACCGAACCGGGTGACACGTCGACGCATGGTAGCGTACAGAATGCGGACAAACGATGCCTGCTGGATAGCATGGATCTGCTCGAAGATGTAGGGTAATACAGTTAATGCAATAAGCCACTGCACGCAGGTATGCATTTATCTCCATGGATACTTCACGCCGGCACGTTCGCCCGCAAACCCTGGCGGACTCCGTCGCTGGCAAATGCTGGTGGTTGTGCGTGACTCGAGTCAGATTAATGATTGTTTTGCTCGCAGCATCTGGTTGGAATGCGTTTCGATGTGGCTATAGCAGGTAACCGAAGCTGGTCTTCGCTCGAGCCCCGGGTGCGTCATCCACCTGTCCGGGCCGCTGCATATGCCAATGCTGACTACTCAGCGTGCGCAACAGGACCGTGGTCCGAAGACCATTCCCTCCCTTGTTCGCTCCTCGTGGGATTACGGGGTACGTATGAGGCAAATAGGAGTATCACCGCCACTCGGCCCAAAGTTGAAAGCCGAACAAGTATATCACAAAAAGTACTCTGGAGTGCCTATGAAGACGGGTAAGGAGCTGCAGCGAGAGGAAAGACAAAAATGTGAAATTTGTATCCCTACCACTAAGTTTTCTTGATCGGAACCGCGGACTTCGATTATCACTTCATGTTTCAGTTTGTCAATATGGTGCATTGCAAATTAGCATAAAATGTTTACTTGTTTCGTGACCACTGGACATGCTCCACCGTTGGAGGTAGGTGTAGATATCATCACTGGCTCAATCTCCATTGTCAGTGTTGAATCCGACGTGGGCTGGTTAGGAATGGTCAGTTGCTATGATTTGCATTACCTACGTCCAGGTGCTGCAACTTTGTGATGCCAGCGACATGAAGAGCCATCTTTATGCCGTACTGCGAGGCTGGGCTACTTCAAGATAACACAAAGTAGGGAACTCAAGATGGAAATATTGATGTATTTGACCTGTACATCGCCCGTAAGCTGTCAAGTGCGTTTGTGAGGAACATTATGCACATTGATAAGAACGGTATTGATAGCCCTATTCCTCGGAGAAAAACCAGGAAAAGTATATCCATTCTGGTTTTTCTCCAAGGAATAAGGTTTCAAGAACTGTCGTATGTATAAACATCGCCCGCCTTGTTACTTCTAACAGGATCCTCGCACCATATCACAGGTCTCTTGCGATGGAATCATTTCGTTCACGAGCAACTGTGCAAGTATTCGCTCCTCGTGTGGGGCCCGTGAACTCCTCGCATTGGAACCCATCGTCTCTAGTAACAGGCATAAAAAGCTGGCATGCTCTTGTCTATTTGGTGCCGCTCGAAGAGGCACATTGAGTATTTTTGTTACACAGAAGTTGTTTTGCGAAGGCTAGCCTGAACGTGTGCGCAGTGGGAGATGGATGCTGTGTGGTGCTACATTTGTTACAAAGTCGTTGAGGACCGTAGCGTTACGGCCGAGCTCAGAGCGCCAGGCAATATTTGGGGCGTTTGGAGTTGTCCGGCGGCTGAAAAGCTGTCTTGTTGAGCTCATGCTTTTTGTATTCGTTTTAGAAGGAACTGAATGGGAGTTCATAGGCTGGCCCTAACCTCCTCACCTAGCAAATCGCACGCGGCCATATTCCGGAGGGTTGATGCCTCCCGACCGCATGCCGCGACCCGACAACGTCGCGCCACGTTCTGTCAGCCGGCAAGTTGGTTGTATTGCGCATTTGGCTTGTCAGACCAGATGCAGTTTGCCAAATCAGCAACCATTCCAGGGACACTACCGGGCCATGCAGTGGAAGCGCCTGAAGAGCTCAATAACCAGCAACCCAGCAGCCGAGCAGGCAATATTTGATGAGCCCAATTCGAAAGCGCTGGATTTTTCCCACGGGTCCATCGCATCTATGCTCGCGAGTTAGTCCGCCCCGGCGTCTGATGAGCGGTGTATTGGACTCTGACTGGAGTCCGCTCGGCGGCGGGGACCTGCGCCTGAAAACGGTCGGCCCCCCGCGTCCCCCGCCCAAAGTCGGTAGGGGTCAGCGGTCGGCGGGGCCGCCCGGTCCGCCTCCGGGCCCGGTGCGGTCGGCGGGGGTCGCTCGGACCGCCTGCGGGGCCCGGCGCGGCCGGCAACGCCGCTGCAGACGGTCTCACACCTGTGCAGCGGCGCCACCAGGCCCGTCGCCGGGGGAGGCCTGGTGCAGGGCGGCAGCTGCTCTAGCGCTTACGCGTCCGCCCACACGTGTCTCTAACTGCCACTCCCGGAGAACGTGTCGGCGAGGGGGCGCTGCTTGGTGGGCTTCCCCGCGTCCGCCCGGACAGCTGGCCACCCGGCCAGGTTTTTGTCGAGTGGGGTGACCGGGACGGGCGTCGGGCCCGGGGCCGCGGCCGACGCCGCCGCTCCGGGCCGGCGGTTCGATCGCCGCGGCAACAAAGTCCGATGTGCTGCCGCATGGCTCCGGCACTGCACGACCATAAGAATGGTATACTTGTGCACACAACGCAACCTGCCCTGAGCCGTTATATCGACGTCCCTTGGATGCGGCGACGTCCGCGGATCGCCTGTAGAGTGAAGCACCATGTAAATACGTGAGAATGCCACAACCAGCTGCTGTAACCAGGCATGTCCGCTAGTACACGTCAGCCACCACTTGCGCGGCCCCATGGCACGACGGGTAGCACGACCTGCGCCGTCTGACTGCAGCGAGGCGCCCCGCACCAGCGCGCCGTGCGCAGACAGCCACGATGGAATGCCTCCTCGGCAACAGCTAAAAACGGCTCCCGAGCACGCGAACGGGCACGTTTATTTGCAGGAATGAAACGCACGGCTGCCGGACCGGACTCAGGCCGTGTCACAGAGTCTGCGGCCGGCGCGACCCGCACAGACGCCAGACGGAAGGCCGGCCAGACATGAGCGCTCCGGCCCACCGCGTAATACCACACACTGCACGGGACTAGACTGAGACGTGGCGGCCGTCGGAGGGGAGCGCGAAAATCGGCCCGCTCCGGCGAGCCACGCGGTGACGGGCGCGGCGGCGGCGGCGGCGGCGGCGGCGGGGCACACGGCCTGGCGCGTCCGACCGCGCCAGGCCGTGTGCCCCGGCAGGCATCGCGACGCACGGTGTGATGCCTGCCGGCGGTCCGGCGCGAACCCGGCCGGCACGCGGCGGAGAGCTCCACAGACGCCCTCTCCGCACTAACTATTGCCTGCCTCTCAGATCGTTCGCTGCATCCCAGAGTCCACCAGCCGGCCGACTCGCAGCCGCACATGGCGCCAGAGCGGCGGCGCACGCGCCAGCGTCGCTCTCCGACGACGCCTGGCTTTACCCCAGCGCGAGAGCGCCGCGTATCGGAGGCGGTAATTCGATGAGCTTAGGAGACATTGGGCTACACCACGACATTGCTGGCAAACTGGAGTACAACTGATTGACAAAGAACGCACCGCGCATTTGACGGCCTTCTCCACAAGTCGAGATCCGGCCCTCGTGTCCCCACAGTTGATTGCAGTAAAGATGACATGACGACCCAGTTAACTAACGTCCATGTGCGTTACGGAGTATGAAACAAAATACACGCATGCGAATAACTGTGGCATATGACACGAAATCGCTAGGACGTCTGACAACATATCACGTGATCGCAAAGATTACGCAGCATCTCTTATCACACTGAGTGATTTACGCAGCTCAAGTGCGCGGCAATTAACAACTCCGCCTCGGGTTATCGTCTCGAAATCGACGCGTACTATCAGCAAATGGGAACAGATGACAGCAAGAACTATGCCTCCTGACAGCGGCACAGAATGCTGGGAGACTCACTACGTGGCCACGATCCTCATCCAAAGCTCGCCTGTCCCCATGACTTGATCCCAACGCCGCGCGCTCTCTACCCACCCCCTCCCCAATCCTCCGTTCCCCAGCAGACCCCCACGAATCGTGCGTGGACAGACCAACGAGCGGCGCGAATGAGGAAAAAGCTGCGTCACAGCCCGCCAGTGCCTGCTCCGGGCCGCGGTGCGCCGACCGTTGAGGGGCATGGCCGCGGGCTGTCCGTCCGACGGGGTCCGACAGGCGCTGCGGGCGCCAGAGCCGTCCGCCGCGCACCCGCCTCCGGCGGCGGCGGCGCTCAGGCTTGCTGCGGCACGCCGCCGCGCGGCGCGCACGCCTCCTCCAGCCGGTAGACGGCGCGCCAGTCGGGCGGGCTCGGCTTGCACACGCCCACACAGCGGCAGCCGAAGAAGTCGACGGCGTTCTGCAGCGGGCCGCGGTCGAACGGCGAGCGGCGCCGGCCGGCCGCCTCCGCCGACGCGAAGTGCTTGTACCGGGCGGCGTTGATGCGCTCGTTGGTGGTCATCGCCAGCCACGCCACCTGTCGGTGACACGGCCACTCAGGTCAGAGTCCTACTGAGGCCAGGTCGAGGTCCAGGGTCACACTCAGGTCAGACAGGAGAAACGCAAGCTCAGACCAGATCGAGGGCAGTGAACACACAGATCAGGCAGGAAGCAGGGTCTTGCAGGGTCAGGATCAGGGGCAAGGAGCAGGGTCAAGATCAGGGTCAGGAGCACGTTGAGGCTAGGTCCCGTTGTTTATGGTCACGCTGCGACTACATTGAGGTTGGGATCACACCTATGAACTCCGGGTAACCTCTGGACGTGACACATCTAAATGTTCGGGTCACGCACAGAGCACGTCATGTACACATAACATAAACAAGCAGCGATGGTGGCAGCGGCGGTACGTGTCCGCACGCTGCAGTCCCCGTCTTCTGCTGGCAACTGCACCGGCTTGCGTCAACCAGCCGCTGTCCGAGCCGGCGTCGGGGCGGTGAATCACAGCCGCCCCGACCCGTCAGCTGCCGCGCAGGTCACGGCCAGCCTGTGCAGTGCGCCCGATAAAAACGCTGGGCTCAGGTGTGCCCCCGACAGCAGCCGCCGACGACCTGACACCAGATGTTCACGGCGGTGACTCACGCCCGCGCTGCGCGCTTTCATTTACAAATTCTCGCAAAGCGTGGTACGTTGGGACTGTAGATGAAGATATTCTGGTATCAGTATCAGTACCGTCTAGGCACGAGAGCATGGGCTCAGAGCCTGCAACTTTCGGCTGGAGCCAGCACAAATATCGACCTTTAATGCACCCGATGCTGGTTGACATTTCCAGTGCACGATAACACCGCTGGTAGCAGTGGCATCCATACACCCATCCAGTACCGCTGGTACTGATTTTGCACTGCTGCCCTTGCCGCTGTGACAATCTTGCCGTGTAGTTGAGCACATTCGACAGTACCTGCCTGAACCGATGCTACGGCTCTTCGAAATGCACTGCGACGGCGACCGTGTGTAGTGCGACGCAACGTAACAATGGAAGGAAACCATCTACATCTTACGCCTATGTATGAGACTTTTTGACTTTTTGTAGTCGGAAAGTAGTGCGCGCGGTGTTTATCCCCCAGCTCCTACTGGTGAAGCAAAGGGACAGAGCACAGGAACAGCCACGCACAACGCCAGCTCACATGCAAACACACACAGGCGTTAGGCTGCTACTTAATTAGTTGCACAGAGTAATAAAAGATAGCTCAAAGGTTAGAGGGCTGGATACACCATCCGAAAGCCTAGGGTTCGACTGGTCGGAGTACGATCTCATCTTCTCTGTGCCTGTCAGACGAACCCGACGTCTGCAATGCAGCAGAGCAATGTTTTTCTTCACGCCAGAGTATGGAGCTAAAGCATCACACACATCTGGTGCTGCCTCAAAATATCAGATGGGGATGGATTCAAGGATTTCTCAACAGAAGCCCCACATCAACAATGTGTCATTACCACGTAGCCGTTAAATATGTGCGCATGCGCAGTTGGAGACACGTGTGTAGAGGCATCTTGACGGATTAACGATGGTCATTCGTCCATCCAGAGCGGGACAGACTCTTGTGCCGTTCACTATGGGCGCAAGAACCCGCCAAATAAATGTCAAGGGCTATATTTCATCACCAACCAGATAATGGTCACGCTAATTCTTGGCGGCGATACTACGAAACGGCATCGCCGCGATGACGTGCACGTGCGGTCGAACGGAGCCGTGCCCGGTCCGGCTCCACCACAAGCCCGGCAGACGGAGCCCCGAGGCGCGAGCGCCGGCCGATCGGCCCACTGACCTTGGTCCATCTGGCAGCAGACAGGGCCGACACCCAGACGGCGTGCACCAGCGCGTTGAGGGCGTTCCAGAACACCCACGTCTCGCACGTGGCCATGGTGGAGACGGCTTGCGGCAGACGGCAGAAGGTTCACCGCACACGGACACGCCCAGCCGGAGGGAGGCCGCGCGCCTAGGGTGACGCGCATGCAAGCTTGCCTGGCGACACTGGCGCACTAGCTCTGGTTAGCAATCAATAGCGTTCAAATGCCCGCAAACAAAACCATTCCTACCCGGAGGCTTTGTTCACACAACGGTAGGACTTCCGACGTCGCAGGTTATTCAATACGCTAAAGGTCCGTTCATATCTCGCCGACTGGCTGCAGAAACGCTGCAGATTCTGTACTTAGTTAGCTTTACTGCAGTTACTAGCTGTCCTTATTGGCTAACCTGCTGCAGTTATTAGCTTTTGCGGGTCAGGGGTACCCCAGTCATCCCGCGCTCGCACTAAGGCGTTAAAAAGAGCTCAAAGGTGGTAACTGTTGCTCACTTTCGAGCCGACGGCTTGTGGGCCTGCAAGCTTAAAATTGGCATATCTAGTTCGCGACAGCTGACTGGATGCAGCGTGTGCAGCGGATTTTGCAGCAAGTCCGCCAGGTGCGAACGGAGCACCACCAAAAAGGCAGGACCTGCTAATGTGGAGGTGCTTGCTTGGTAGACCACCACCAATGATACGCGTCACCTGATTTTCCGTCCCCCGGCTACTGCAGTGGCGTAGGACGTACCGTTCCAAAAACCCTGCTCCGAAATGGCGACCGCACAGGCGCGTTGGTAGAACACGCTGCAGCCGTACAGGAAGAAGACGCACATCCCGGCCAAGAAGAGCAGGTAGTACACAAAATACTTGTGGTTTCCGGCACCTGGAGCACGGCATGCATGTCAAACATCGCATTAGTTGCTAACATGTGATCTATAACAGAAGACATGACTGATTGAGAAATTTTGATTTAATAATGGGTCGGCATCTCGTTTCGAAACCACCATGGCATTTACGCACACAGATTGTGAGTGGCAGAGAATGCCGTCGATGGTAAAATATAAATGTCAATCCCAGGCAATGTTCCAAATTCACGGCTCACGTGCGAATTAAAACTGTGCTTCATTGCACCCGAAAGATGAAATGCGACAGTAAGCTATATGAGGGAGAAAAAAACAAAGAGCCGAGTCAGAACAAGAACAACATAAATCTCGAAAAGTATCAGTTCAAATAGCAAACCAATGCTAATTTGTGGCGTTATAACTTTAGTAAGGATAGTCCCGTACAGCTGAAAGTGCATGTGAATGGCTAATTTCGGACAATCAACTCGCGTACGTAACATGATGGCGAACAAGCAGAAGCGACACAGAAGAAGCAACAGAACAGAAGCCCGCCAGCGCCCGCACGCGTCACCCCTGCTGGCCGCCAATAGCGTGCGCCTCCAGCATCCATGACACCGACCGACACAGTTGTTGACCCAGGGGCAGTGGTGGTCGAACTTGGCCACGCAGCGGTTGCAGACGGAGCAGTGTTTGGAGCGGACCGGCCGGCGGATGAGGCACGTGCTGCAGAACTGCGCCATGTTGAAGCCCTCCGTCTCCGACAGTGACACGATTGTCTGCAGAGGTGGAAGGCCTCGCCGGTCAGCGGCGGTGCCGTCGGGGCGGTGGGGCACCGGCCGAGCGTAGCTCAGCAACAGTCCCACGCGACAACTGCGGCCGCTGGGGGCGCTTCCGGACGCGGCGCGATAGCTCCCAAGCACGATTACCCTGTCCAATTTTCGTTTCGATAACCAGAAAAGGCCGGCAAACGTTATGTCAGATAGTGGCACCGTTCTGCGCCAGCTGCGGAGTGAGCATCGTTGCGACTGTGATGAGGGTACAGCTGCATCAAAAGTCACCTCTGCCCAGCCGCGCACGCGCCTGGGA